AAACTCATTATCTTGACGAAACTTTAGAACATGACAAAACTTATGACTACATTTATCTTAAACATTTTAAACTTTTAAATTAAGATCTTTAGGTATTTGTTTTTTTAACATCTTATTAGATTAGATTAAGTCGTTAAAAAAATACTTGATATCGCATGTATTATTGAGTAGAAAATCTCAATGTTCAAAGCTTGAGTAACTTCGTTTATGTCTCGTTTGTTTATATAAACAAGACTAATAAAGCACGACGTATTTATTTCATTAAATTTATTTTTAGGTGAAATTCAAAAAAAAATCATATATTTCGGGTAATACCCGAATTACCCAAACCCGACCCGATACCCGAATTACCCGAATTTAGTTTGGGTAGGGTAATGGGTAATTTTTCTAACATGAAAAACCCGAATTACCCGAAACCCGAAAAAATTACCCGTTCAACACCCCTAATTTCTACTACATATATTATTTAATCACGATTAATGATTTTTTTTTACAGAAGAAAACTTATTAGTAGCTCTTTAAAACACTACTACTAATAAACTATAATTTTAGTTATTTTTCATTAAGCATTAATAAATTATCAAAAGTTATGGAGATTGAAAAGTGTACACTGTAGATTTTATTCCATTCAATTCTAGAATGAAAAAATTGCTAAAAATCGAAGAAACCAAAGTTGTCAAAATCAAGATCTTACTTAAGATCGTTTTAATTTTTGCAAGATGGTAATAATAAGATCGAATCAAGATCTAAAAATCATATCAAAATGAACTCGTATTAAAAAATAACCACAAAATAGTGGATGTGAAGTATATATATTATGACTTTATGTTTATTAAGACATTGATAGAGTAAATAAATTTAACTTCTTAAGCATGAAACATATCTCTTATTGTTACAAACCGTAAAAATTAAGAAGAAAACAACTTAATTTCAAAAAACAAATATCATTTTGATCATATACAACTAAAGATATAAGATCAAAAGGAGATTTTTATAAGTGTGTTCTGCCTAATTCGAGAAGAATCCATGAAATTGTGATGCTCTATAAGACTTGTTGCAACTTGTGATGCTTGATTTTAAGTTGAATAGAAGATTTTTTTTTTTTTTTTGATACTCAACAATATATTAAAACTAAAGAGGTGAGATCAGGATCGTAGTATGATCGGGATCATTTTTTTAATTGTAGGATCTTAAAATAGTAAGATGTTAAAGATCAAAATCGGATTTTGACAACCTTGAAAGAAACTATATATTTCTAAAAACTATATATGTTGCTATTAAACAAAACATGTAGTTTTTCATGATTTGATCTATTATTTCCATCAAACAAAAAGGTGTTTCAAAATAAATACAAGCAAGAGGTCGAAGTTGTCGATGACATTCAATCATTATCATTCCTTTCGATTCAACATAGAGACAAGAAAAAAACGATGCACTTTCATGAATAGATTGCAATTGTAATTCTTTATATTAAGTAGTGAAATGCTAATCAAATTCAAGTATAGGTGTATTTTGTTTTGGAACTCACTCAACACTCAACGGTTGTCATGTATGACATCTACTACGATACTCTAATGTATGATATTTATTATATAATATACTTAAGGCATCCATAACAAGAGTTTTTTTTTTTTTTTTTTTTTTTTTTTGAAGAATCTTTTCAAACCAAAAGCTCTTGAAATTTGATAAAAAAAAATAGTGGATATGCTTTTTCAAGTAGCTTGTTAGTTAACAAGCTCTTGTCATATGAGTTTTTTCAATGATTTAGTGAGTCGATTCTATAAATTAGCAATTGAAAAAGCTTTCGTTATGGATATAATATGAGTTTCTTGATCATTTAATGTTTTTTTCATGAAAAAATCCAACAAAAACCTCATATCGACGTTAGTCTTTCTAGATTTTTTTTTCTAATTTTCACATTAATAATACATGGGTGCTTACAAAAAAAAGTCCAATTGAATGAATCATTTGATTCTCTCTCCAATATAATAGTACAAAAAACTACCTTATTCTCTTCTATTTTGAGATCTTAAATACGATTAGTCAATAATCCAATATTTTTTAAATTAACAATGTCTTAAATCAAGTCTCGAAAGAAAATATATGTTGTAGAGTAGCCGTTATACAATAGAGAATAGTAGTTTGATGACCAACGTACGTTTGTAGTTGGTAATCATACAAATGTTAAGGTTGCGTTTAGTTACGGAAAAACACTTTTCATTTTCCGTTTTTTGTTTTCCTTTTTCGATTTTCGTTTTCCGTTTTCATTTTTCATTGAAAAATTTAGAAAACGCGTTTAGTTAAACTTATTCATTTTTCATTTTCAGTTTTAGAAAATTAGAAAACGTGTTTAGATGTGTATTTTTCTATCGGTTTTCATTTTTAAAAAATGGTAGCGGTGGTAAGGTGTGGGTGGGGGCGGTGACGGTGATGGTAGTGGGTCAGCGGCGGTGGTGGTGATGATAGGCGATAGTGGTGGCGACGGCAATTGTGTCAGTGGTGGTGATGACAGGCGGCAACGGTGGTGCTGGTGCTAGTGACGGGTTAGTAGTGATGGTGGGTATGTATGTGTATGTGTGTGGGTTGGTGTGTGTGTGTGTGTGCGGGTGGGTGTTTGTGTGTGGGTGGGTATGTATGTGTTTGTGGGTGTGTGTGTGTGTGTATGTGTGGGTATGTATGTATGTGTGTGTGTTTGTGGGTGGGTGTGTGTGTGGGTTGGTGTGTGTGTGTGTGAGTGGGTATGTATGTGTGTGTGTTTGTGGGTTGGTGTGTGTGTGTGTGTGTGCGGGTGGGTATGTATGTATGTGTGTGTGTGGGGGGGGGGGGTAGGTACAGGTGGATGGGGTGGAGTAGGTGTGTGTTTATAGAAAAATTTTGGAATTAGAAAAATGTGGAAAACAATGATTATCAGTTTTCCAAAATTTTCCAACTTCTTTGCAATTTTAGAAAACGGAAAATTTTCATTTTCCGTGAAAAATTTAGAAAAATAGACGAACTAAACGCGTTTTTAAAATTCTCATTTTTCTTGGAAAATTTTTCCGGAAAACGACTCATTTTTCCACAACTAAACGCACCCTAAGTTTTTACCTTTCAAGTCTTGCATCTGGGAAACAATGGACATTCATGATCATGAACATGACTTGAATACTACTGATAATTTACAAAATTTGCTTTAGAGTGCAAAAAATCTATGAAGATAATTAAATATATAGAGTGGCTGAAGTTTTTTAGATGAAAATTATTGAAGTTGTTTTCTTCTAGAAGATTTTAAACACCAACCCATCATTAATGTTATGTAAATCCTAACAAATGTGTTTGACTGGTTCTACGTTAATCTTTGTGGGGTTGGATTGACAGTTAGGGTTAGTAGTTGGTTGAAAATGCATGTTGACTACTTCTATGTCAAATCTTAGGTAAAACAATGTTTCTTGAATATTTCTACATATCTATGTATTTTTTATAGAAGGGTCATATGTATCCTCAATGAATGTTGTTAGTAATTAATATTTATCTTGAACAATATAAAATTAATTTTTTACTATTTGTACCATATCACTTTAATCACACGTCAAACTCTTTATATTTTATATATAGACTCTATTCGACAAAACTACCTGAAAACTTATATTTATGGAAGCTGTAGCTTTGTATTTGTATAAGCAAAAGTAACTGAAAACTTTTAAAACATATAAAATTACATAAAACATCTTTGTGAAATATAAAATATAAACATAATTTTAAAAATAGTGATCGCAAATATATAAAAAGTTTTTATGTTTGAACATTGCATGGAGTAGCTTGTGCACTTGAAGCCTTATGTTTTAAGCTAAAAGTTGGAAACTCTCAAAAATTGCATTGCATGTTGAACACATCCATTATACATAATACGCTAAGATCATTATTATTTATTGTCTCTAATCCAACTATTTCTCATCTTAATTTGTCCCACCTTGTTATAAAAAATATCCGAGGATCACCCATTCCAACCAATTGTAGCTTGTTTGCAAATTCGTTGACCCAACATTTGGAAAAATGTATAATATATAAGAGACCTTCTGATTGGTTGTTGACAAAGAGGCTTGGCTGTTGGTTTGATTGATGCCAATGATTATTACATAAAGGAATCCAACTTCCATTCCATCATTCCATCATGCACATTCTTACCCTCATCATTGGTTTGACGGATTCAATCCCACTATACATAGGAATCCAACTTTTATTCACAACTCAACCTTTGTTGAGTAAATTACACGAATGGTTCCTATGGTTTGAGGTAATTTGCGTGTTTGGTCCCTTACTTATTTTTTTAACTCGGAAGGTTCTTATGGTTTGTTTTTGTTACGCGTTTGGTCTCTACTATTTATTTTTGTTACGCGTTTGGTCCCTATCTTATCTAAAAAGACTATTATTTAAAGAGGTAAAAATGATGGGGTAGGTGAGGTAAGGTGAGGGGGTGGGATTAGGGGTGTGTTTATTTAGATAAATTAAAAAAATCAAGGGCATAATAGTCTTTTTAGGTAAGATAGGGACCAACCGCGTAACAAAAACAAACAGTAGGAACCTTTCGAGTTAAAAGAATAAGTTAGGGACCAAACGCGCAAATTACCCTAAACCATAGGGACCATTCGTGTAATTTACTCAATATTTTACCAAACAATTAGACCTTACAAAAATAATTACAATCACTAGAAAAGTGGAAGGGTATTGAATTTAATCCTACCTTTTGCAAGCATAGAATGGAAACAACAAAACGTCATTCATTTGTAATTTTATAAATATGGATTTAAAACCAAGACTATAAACCCTTTCAAAACAAAACTCATACAATAACTATATGTGTTTTCAAAGCCATTGTTTATGCTCACGAATGTGCAATGTTCAATCCTACTTATAAATGATAAACTTGTGTGTTTAAAAACCAAGTTTTAATCTTCTAAATCCTCATTTTGAATATTATAGAAGAGTAACCTATAAATGTCCTTCATTTTATTTTCAAAATCATCGATTTCTTTCAATTTGTGTATTCTAAAAAGGAATGATGTGATTGTTTGAATTCTTATAGGCTCTTTGCTAATCAGTCAGATTCCTGTTTTGAACATATTGTTGAATACACATTCAACTCAAACAAAAAATAGCTAACCAAAAACCGATAAAATACATAAGAGATTTCATTTTCTCGATTGATAAAAATCTTGAAAGGGTACACAATAGTGACCAACATGACATTGACCAAAGTCAAAATGTTCACATTCATCACCACCCTCATATTCGACATACATTTCTCTTTGTTTCTTCTATCTTTTTTTAAACTTCAATCCCTTTTTTCTTTGTCATTATTGTCTCTATTTCGATTTTACATCTCAACATAACATTAACACCAACATCTTTACATAATTCCAACTTTTTTTGTTCGTTTGGATTTTCTCAGTTTTTCAGCAAACAGTTCGACCATAACACATGGATGCGATGTAGAGGTTTTTCGACCATTTTTCCTTCAAAATAAACACACAATCATTACTTGAACGATGAGTAAATAATATATAAGAAAAGATTTGATTTTTATTTTTTATTTTTTTACCTTGACATGAGTGCTAGGGAAGGCAGATGTTCTTAAAGTTTCTTGAGTCTCATCCATCATTTTACGCCTTGGGATACTCAAAATAAAAGCAGCTTGATCAGGTGTGGCAGCCATAGATGTTATCCTGTACCCACTTTCCCATCTACGGTGTATTCCTTCACTTGGGTAAAGAAAATCAAGCTCCACAACCTATTTTTCAATTTTTAATTTTAAACCATTATTATTAGTATTTTATATGTCAACAAAAAAAAAAAAAAAAAAGGAAATTAGGTTGCTGTATAATACCTGTTCAGAGAACCCTGCGTTTCTTGACATGACAACACCCCAACGACTGCCAGCTGTCGTCATGGAAGTCACATGGAATCCTTCTTTCCATTTTTTGCTAATCCATTTGAATGGAAACGATTCACTCACTTTGTATGATTGTTGAGTGTATGGCGTTCCTAAAAAAAAATTATTAAAACTATTTTATTTTCTTTTTCAATAAAATTAAAATCATAATAATTAAAATAGAAAAGAAAAAAGATTTATCTAACCTTTAGACATGACAACCAATGAGCTTCCATTAGCAGCCCCAGCTATTGAACTGATGTAAAAATTCTTCTCCCACTGTTCCATAATCCAGTCCTGAACAATAATGTAAAGAAACTTGGTGTTAATAATAATTAATGAAATGGAGGAAATAGACATGAAAATGACTAAAATAACCTTGTGAAGAAAGACAGGAGAAACTTCATAAACTTGGGAACAGAATCCTGTTCCTGCGTCCATAATTAAAGCCCAAAGATTTGAAGCTGAAGCCACACAGCTGATGTATAGACCATCTTCATTACCCTTATCCACATGTTGAACAAGTCTCGCATCAGCTACATTATAATGATATCTGCAAATCAAATCAAAATCAAATCAATTATCTTTTTTTTTTAATGAAAAAGAAAAACAAATTCATACCTTTGTTTCATTGGGCGACGTGCATTGTAAACAGAAATCCATTGTGTAGCAGGACTACCTAATCTTACTTTCTTTTTTGGTTGTTCATCTTCTTCTAAATTAATAAGCAATCTTCCCCTTTTTTGTCCCACCTGATAAAAATAAAAATATAAAAAAACCACTTTTTTTTTTTTTTTTTTTTTTTAAAATGAAATTTGTGTACCTTGAGTGCCCCATCGATTCTGATTGGTCGTAGTGATGTAACGGGTTCAATAAGGCTCTCAAATAAAGAAATTAATTTAGAATAATTTGGCTCTTCATCAAATTTCATATTTGTAACAGCTTCAAGAAAATGTTTAAATGGTGCAGGACAAAAACAACACATCAACTCGGGTGATGTTGCCATTTTCTTTTTACAAACAAGAAAACTCTTGTTGTCTCCCTGTAATATAAAATAAACTTAATTAATGTGCTAATGTTAGAAAAAAAAAAAACAAATCTAGAGTGAAAAGACGAAATTGACCTACCTGGTAACCTTGCCATGGTAACCTTCCTTTAATGAGAAATATTAATGTGTATGCAAGTGACTCAAGGTCATCTCTTCTACTTCCTGTTCGACCTAAATGTGCATGCACACTTGCATATCTTATTGTCCCCCTAACAAAATTTACATTAAATTAAATCACATTAGATGTTATAAATAAGCTTTTAAAATAATTTTATATTCACAAACCTAAATATATCTGGTCGTTGATCATACTCAACGTGTTGACTAGAAGTTGAATCTTTCCATTTTGATGCTGAAAAAAGCAACAAAAAACGAGTTAATGATACTTCAACATAATTAATGTCATTGTAGTTAAAGGGGAATTATTAATTAAATAAAGTTGAAAGCATACCTAAACCAAGGTCGATAAGATATAGTTTCTTTTCATCCACAGTTCCTGGTTGACCAAGTAAGAAGTTTTCTGGCTTCACATCTCCATGAACAAACCTTTATAATAATATTATTGTATAAAAAAAGAGTGTCATTAAATGTGTTGGTAGATATATAGATTGTTCAAGTTAGCAAGAAAGATTAGATTTAGATATGACTTTGAATTACCCTTTTGAGTGAAGCTTCTCAAGAATTGATATCGACTCAACAGCAATGCAAGCCACCATACTTGGTGACATTCTGAATAAAAAAAGCAATTAGCAAATAGATATAGATTTATCATTTATGTATGTAAGAAGTATGTATGTAAAGTGAAGACTATTATCTTACGATTGGCCTAAAGAGTTCCAAACATCCCAAAGACTTGGTCCAAGAATGTCCATGACCTAAAAAAGATTCATAAATTCTCATAAAGATAGAATTTTTATACCAAAAATGAAAAAAGCAAGACAAATTTCAAAGTCAAAAGTCAAAACTCACCAGAATGTAAAAGTCACCTTGTCGACCCTTGTAGTGAACCCATGGAATCCCATAACATCCATTCAATGAGCTTTTTTTTGTATTAAAATGTTTCAATGTATTAGATCTCAGCTTACAAGGTTAAACATGGAATTATGTAAATGTTTTGGGAAAGATATGATATGTACCTGTAAACTTGCCACTCATAAGGAGGACCATAGTTGCAACCTTTACTATTGCGATGCTCAAACTTTAATGCTACCTATAAAAGTAAAACAAAAAAAAAAAGATCAAAATTGTAACACAAAGAGCTAGTTATTATAAAAGATAAAAGACCTTCATTTATCAATTATTGTTTCAACATGTACCTCAACTGCATCTGGCCCTGTTCTTTCTGTTCCACCACTTAACCTCCTCCCAACATAAACCTGTCCAAAACCACCTTTCCCCAACTTTCTTTCCACCTTATATATAGGAGAATTTCCCACTTGTACCTTCATCATAAACAAAAACACCACACATTATGAGTTTTCTAAAAGGGGAAAGTTAATCTCAAAGAAAGAGAAAAAAGAAATACCCTTTCGGGAACAGGAGTTGAGTTGCCTTCTTCCTCAACACCCATAACTTTATCAGCACCACCACTTCCACCTTCCATGGCAATGTCTTTATCTGCAACTGTGTCTAGTCTAATTGGAGCTTCAGGGATAATATCACAAGGAGGTTCAGGGTCCAAATCAATCAACCGAACACCTCTACCTCTACCACCAACAGTTGGCCTCACTGGTAATGCCGCTACAGGCCCTTTGGCTACACCTGCAGCATCACCGCCTCTTCCCCTTCCACCACCACCACCACCAGTCTTTCTTCTAGGTCTGGTTTGGGTTGGTGGGGCGGTGTTTTCTGCTTGATTGATTGGTTGAGTGGCAGGCTGAAGATCACCAAGCCGTTTTGATCTCCTTGCTCCACTTCGAAGTTGTGGCATCGTCACCCATGCAAATTAGATCCAACTCATAACCCTAGTGTCGCCTTTTTTTAGCCTTCAATTAGCTACATAAATGAAATAAAACTGATGTGAAAAGATGAACAGATTGAAAAAATGAAAACAATGTCGCTAGTGGAAACACTATCATTTGAATCGGATGAACAAATTGCAACAATGAGAGTGAGAATTTGCTAAATCGGAAAGTGATATATGTCAGATTTATACTATTTTTAGCAAAAGGACTTGTAGATTATCACGAGGATTCTACATTCTGCTACAAGTTTGATTCTTTTGGAAAGAAAATATCTCCAGGAGATTGTAATCCAACGGCATACAGCGTATAAATCCGTCTGACTAAAGAATCATTTTGAATCCAATTAAATTTACTCCATAAACGCATAGAAACATAAGCAAATCCCTGACGAAACAGTCCGAATCGAATTTGAATGAGAATCGGAGAGAAAATCATTGACGAATCAAACCGTCAGATTACGTCGTAGCTCATGAGAACTACTTTATCCGATCATCGAAAATCTTATGAACTCAAAACATTATCCGTATGTTTAAAATTAATTAAAGCGAAAGTATTTCAAATAATAATTAAATAATCAAAAGGCAGATCGACCGCACCTCAAGAACTGCAAAATCAAGATGATCGGATCCAAATGCTTGATCAATCGGCGAATTTCACATGAAAACCTAACTTTTATGACTCGATCGGCTGTCAGATCCTTCCAGTAAACTCCATGATAACAAAAAAACAATATCGCCCTGCGTACCGCTTCGTTTTACCTTATCTGTCAAAAATTGAGAGAAATTCAAACTGCTCTGCCACAAAAATGAAAACTTTTGGTTAGTTTAGGGATTCAGGAATGAGAAGAACAGATCAAAGTGATGATCAATTGAGGGAAATGAGATTTGAAACGAAAAATCGTACGAATTGCGATGGGATTGTGTGATTCTTGTTGCGGCTATCGGTGTGTAATGTATTTGTTTCTCTCTCTGAAAGTATTGCTATTGCGGTCTTGCCCTGGTGTCCGAGGCCTTTTTTATATTTATATTAAATAAATAAATGAAAATTAAAATAATTATTTATTTCTTTTTCGGTTTTAGTGTTTCTTTTTCATGAAAATGCAAAAGGGGAAAGTAAAGAATGTGAAGCATGCGACATGTGGCCTTCGATACGACCAATTATTATTCTTATTTTTTTCTAGTCCAAAATTATTATTATTATTATTATTATTATTATTATTATTATTATTATTATTATTATGATTTTTGAGTTCAAACTTTTAAAAATTTTGAGAACAAAAAATAATCACTTGTTTGATGGCTTAAATCAAAAATACTATATTTGTAATTTTGAACAAAATTAATTATAATCATATCTTTGGTTTTCTTAAAGAAAAGCAAATTAAATACAAAAATAAATAATCCTTACAATTCAACCAAACAAATTTAATGCCAAAATGAAAATCTCTCTCTCTCTCTCTCTCTCTCTCTCTCTCTCTCTCTCTCTCTCTCTCTATATATATATATATATATATATATATATATATATATATATATATATATATATATATATATATATATATATATATATATATATATATATGTGTGTGTTTTGGTCTTCCTTGCCACTCTCTTCTCCATCCGCTACCCTTCAACCTCTCTCTTCTCTTCATGTTCTACTATCAATTATTCGGTGATGTTGCTAAACAAACAATTATTTCGATGCAAAAAGTAGAAATGGTTTTTAGTCATTAGGGCAAAAACGATTTTTCTATTTCTGTATATATTGTTACTCAACCGGATATGATTCCAAAAATTCAAACTTGTTCATTTATGCTTTTGGGTTGAATTGCGAACTTTTTTGTGATTTTTGAAATTGTTTATGAATTTCAAAGTAGTTATTCATCTCATATATATTTTGAAATGATATAAGAAGATAAAAATAAACTCAATCTTCTACAATAAAGTCAAAATTTAGAAAAAAAAAATATCTAGGGATAAAGATGAGAGAAAAATTAAAAAAAAAAACATTTCAAAAATGAAAATATATATATATATATATATATATATATATATATATATATTAAAAAAATCCAAATTTTATAAACATTATCATAAGTATTAGAAAATTATAAAAATGTATGTACGATTGAAAAAGTCAGCATATACTTAGTTTAGAGTTAGGAGTATTTATCTCTAGTTTCAGTTCTAGTTTACTGTATAAATACATGTATTTACATGATATCAATACATAAAACAATTCACACTTCATTATATGGTATAGAGTGTACCTTATAGCTCTCATTTTTAATTTTCATTTGTTTTTTGTTTCTCGTTCCACGACGACAGGAACCCTCATATTCTTCACACTGCAGCCACCATCGCCTCCATAATCAACTTTCAAATCCCTTCAGTTGTTGTTAAGCTCGAGTGTGAGAATTACTCGTTATGGTGCACAACCATTTGTCGCGGCTTTTGAAACCTTCGATTTGGATGATTTTGTTTGCAATCCTACTCCACCTCCTATTGGAATAGTGTCTAAGCTGCAACTATATTAGGCAAGTATTTGATCCGATTGTGCATGGTCCTTTTAGGTTGCCTTCACCATAGCAACTTAACAGGGTGATTTATTATGAGAGAATAAATATTATTAATATATTATGAGAATAATATAAGGAATAATAATATTATTATTTGATTAATATAAGTCATAAATTAATTAGGAATTAATTTGGTGACTTAAAGAGATTAATTAAATAAAAGGGTATAAACTGTCAATTGTTTGATAGTTACACTTTGGGCTGTAAATCCTTCATGGATAGGGTTGGACGATTTCTAGGGCTTGGGATAAGCCACAAATCGTCCAAGGGCTTATCTTGGAAAGGATTTGGATTGCTTTGAGTAAAAGTTATCCAATTAGGGTTTAAGGGTGAAACCCTAGGAGCCTTACAAGTATAAATAGACCTCTTAGGGTGGGGAAATCGACACATGTGTCTTTGGAAGAACCCTGGCCAATTTTTGTCCTCTCTCCTCTTTCTCAAATCATCCTCCTTGCTAGTTGGTGTTTGTAAGCCATTAGAGGAGTGACATTTGTGACTCTAGAGCTCCAAGAACAAGAAGATCAAACAAGTGTTTCAAGGTAAACTTCTAACTCTGATTTTGTATTGTTCTTATACCTTATTAGCCATTAGAAGTCTTGGATTCAATGCATGTTTAATTAGAGAAACCTAGATCCAAGCATTAGGGTTTGCATGTGCACATAGGAATGTTCATATGACCAAAACCCATCAGTGGTATCAGAGCCTAGATTTGTTTCTATTAAATTGATGCATGGTTGTTTGTTTCTTGCTTGCAAAATTCGAATTTTGTGGATCTGAATGTTGAACTCGACGAATCTCATAGTGGACTCGGCGAGTCCAGTTGGGTACTCGGCAAGTCCGAGCGTCAGGAAGAGCAAAAATCGGGATTTTTTGATATTTATCTTATGGAAACTTGCCTTTATCATATTAGATCAACACAAATCCGATTTTTTTGATATATATGACTGTAATCTTGATCTAATTAAAGATATTTATCAATTAATAAAATATTTAATTTCATTATGAGATAATTAATTAATTATTTTGATTAAATTGGTAAATTATTTGGCAAGAAATCATAAATAAATCAAATATGGATAATTATGTGATTAATTGTTATTTGTTATTAGATCCTTTATGTTTTGAAAAGTTTAAAACTTGCCCTCAAGTTTTGAAATTTATGTTTTGTGATTAAAAGTTTAATTTAAACAATTTAAATTTCAAACCCTAGAATTTTAAAAAGTTTAAAATTCAACCCTATACTAATATAATATTATAAGATTAATATATATATATATATATATATATATATATATATATATATATATATATATATATGTATAACTAAAATGCTAGTCTTAGCGTTAGTAGTCCTAATTCACGAAGACGGTCTATAAGGTGGGTATAAGGTTGCGGTCTATAAGATGGCGCTTAATGGGTGTACACTCACACCCACCGCTTGCTTGATCGATGGAGGGTCGTTAGCCGAACGGGTAGGATAGGGCAACCTCATCCTCTCATTAAAAGTATAATATGAAATACAAAGTAACTACATGTTTTCAAAAAATTTCCCAATGCTAGTTACTTTAGGAAAAGTGAATTGATGTAATCCCGTGAAATTACACTTTGCACCTTGCTAAGAAGTTAGTGGAGCGTGTGTGGTTTACCAGTGTAACAGCCCGAAATCCAGGTATCATTCTATTTAGCCCTGCATCTTTGATATATTGCCAATTAGGGTTTGCATGTTAGGCGAGTACGTTGGGCGTACCAGGAGTACGCTGCGCGTACTCGTGCGCTTCATTTGGACGCGTTTACCCTCGGGTACGCTGGGCGTAACCGGTCCAGACCTAAAAACCCTAATCCGTTCGGAGGGCTATAAAAGGAATGTGTGGTTGGACTTCTCAGCCACCATCCCTCAGAGAGAAACCCTAAAGAGAGTGTGCATTCGTTCTTAGGCCATTTTGTGAGTATTCTAAGCTTGGTGGTGCCATTCCAAGGTAGCAAAGGAGAAGAAGAGCTCATTGGGAAGGCTAGAAGTGGTGTTCAAGTGTGGATCTGAGCTTTGCAAAGGTTGAAGCTTCATTATCAGGTAAAAAGTTCGGATCTTGACATATGGTTCATGTTATATGCTTCAAGTACCATTTTCTAGGGTTTTAGTCCCAAAGGTGGAGACTTTTTGTGCAAATGGTCTCCATAAGCTTAGATCCATCATATTTCTGGTCTATTGGAGTTGTAGACTCATAAAAATGATATCTTGGACGTGAATGTTGCACCATGCATGAGATCTAGGTCCTTGAGTTGGAATAGAATGATGTTAAGAAGTGTTGGAGCCTTTACAGCCATGCCAAGGCTTAAAGGTCTCGACTTTATGGGTATAGACGCATAAACAGAGTCGGATCTAGAAGTTAG